TAGGGAAGATGCTGCATTGCTCATTCAGCTTGGGAAGAGTAGATGTCATTCTTTTGCCCTTGATCCACAAAGAAAAATGTCCCTCTGCCACACAATGCACACCTGAACTTCCTCTAGAGAGAGGTGGGTCTTTCCTTCCTCTTCCCTGTGTTCCTGTGCCTGATCAGAACGTTGCCATCTTGTGTTTATAATGCTGGGTGACAGAAAGGGACTTGTACACTTAAGTACTTCTTCTCCAGGGAGAAGTATGGAATACTTCTGCATGGAATAGGGCAAAAATGAAGCACTTGAGCTATGTTTTGCAGCCCTTTCTCTCTTCCTTTGTATCCATTTTCCCCTCTTTCTTACAATACTCTGATACCCTGCAGTGTGACTGACTAAAAACCCTGCAGAGGGTCTGCACACCCAGGGCATGTCTGATGCTGTCAGGTAAGGCCTGATGATACTGGGAGCACCAGAAGAAGATCCCAGGAAGGTTTCTAGTCGACGTGCAGCATCTCACTGGGTAAATTTTGGGGGTCTTATCTTTCCTATGCCCAACTGTTAATGATTCATGAGAACAAATAGTAATCTGATCTGATTCAAGTGCTTCCTGGTAACCTCAATGATTTAATCTCCTCCTGCACAGGGATGTAGTGCTGATCTTTGAAGAGCTGTCTGATATCTTCTCAGACCATGACAATTACTTGACTACCAGGGAGCTGCTCATGAAGGTGAGAATTAGCTTGAGTTGCAAGGCTTGTGATCTCATCCAAAGCCCTTTTTCTAACCAGCTGCCCAAGCTCATCTCTCCCTGAACTGCTGGGTGTGGGGCTTCAGGGAAGAGAGCTCTAAAAACCGGGATGAGAGGGGATTTTGCTGTTCCTGCAAGAACCTACACTAGCATTGGCCTCTCCAGCTTGGATGCCCACATATAGCAGGTTGTAGCAGCATGGATCCCATGTGGACCTGCTCACAGGACAGGTCAGCCCCCCTTGGGACCCCTCAAATTGAGTGTCACCCTGCTGGAGTGAGGTGACTGGTCCCACTCCCTGGGGCAGGGTGCTGCCAGCTCCAGAATCCTGGGTGCTCCATCTCATGCCTGTGGTAGCACTGCAGCCACAGCCAGAGTCAGGAGTCCTGCATGGTGGCATTTGACTGAGCTGGGGCACCAACTGGCACTTTGCCTGTGAGCTGGAGATGACCCACCAGCTTGGGCACCCTCTGAGCAGCCCTGGCAAGGCTCAGGTTTGCACTGGTGAGTGCAGAGCAGCTCCAAACAAGGTACCAAACTGGGCTGCCCCACTGCAGTGCCTTTGACTTCACTGGAACAATGCCACTTGTCTCTGGCTGAGGAATGAAACCAAGATGTTTATCCAACTATCTTGTACCTTTTTTGGAACTAGAAAACAGGGCTGGGAATTTTGAAGGAGTGGGTTTCCTGCTCTGTGTGTGGCCAGATGGACAACAAAGCAGGCTGTGTCTGAAAGAGCTTGACTTGGGTGCTCTCCTGGGCAAACCCCAACAAGCTCAGGAACTTGAAAGGACTGAGGAAGAATAGCAGGGAAAGGTTCTATTCTGTAGAAATTAAGAAAGTTTGTGGGATTTTTTTCTGTTTACATGAAGAGTTTCTACAAACTGGCTAACCAGTTTTCTTCTTCTGGTGTTTCTATCTGGCATTTGTACCTTTCCCCCCTTGCCCTGGTACCTGAAACACTGGGTTTTGCTCAGGGATGATGGGTCAGCCCATTCAAACCTGTCAGTCTGTTTTGTTTCTCATCCATTTATTGGCATCTGTAGCTGAATTTTAAAGCAGGTGAGACATAATAAGCACAGAGGGGAAAATGGGTGTTCAGAGCAGCTTATTTAACTCAATATTGAAAAGACAAAACAACTCAATTCGAGCCCAGACCTTCTGACTCCCAACAAATCTCTCTCCAGCTGCTGTAAATAGGTTTGCAAAACATTTTGAAAGTAGTGAGGGGAGAAAAATGGCAGAGAAAAGCCAGGACCTCCCTCCTACTTCTTGTCTTGGGCTGTTTGGTAACGATTGGAGGATTCATGTCCACGGAAGCCTTGAAGCCTTTGTTTTCCTTCACTACAAATAGTGTCTCTAGGGAAGCTGTGTCCAGCCTTGCCTGGCCATCCTGCAGCTTCAAGTGTGGAGCAGCCAAAATGCCAGATAAGCCAGGTTGGCTGGTGCAGGGGGAGCAACTGTGTTCTCTTCTCCCCCCAGACAAGGGCTCTGCTGCGACCTGCACTTGTAGCTTCTGTGCCTGCTCACCAGCTGCTCTTAGGAACACTGAGTTTGCCTTTCAGTATCTTGAAGGCAGCAAGACAACACTCCTTTTTCATTTGCTCCTGTTTTTCAGCCAGGGAAGGAAATACAGAGGTTCAGTGATCTGTCTGTGAGCTGTGGCTGAGAGAAGTCAGGGCTGTAAGGAGAGGATCTTCACAAGTGCAGGCTGCTGTTTTGAGCCTTTTAAAAAGACATTGATAGTGATTCATGCCCCATCCATCTGGCCACTGGAAAAAATAACAGTAACCCCCAGCATTCCATATGGATCCTGGGAAATGAAGGCTACAGATCTATTGTGAAATAGCTCATCTGTTCACGGGAAAGCTTGAATTGTGGAGATGGAAACCTATTGACTTCCATTTCCTGCCTGCTTTTGGATGAAGGCACAGAGTGTAGTTGCTGGATCTCTACGTTGTGGAGTAAGAAGAACAACAAAGCATTACATAAGGCAGAAATGTTTACTTGTAGCAGTCCTGATTAGGAAATAAAACAAAAATCCTGAGGTCAAGAGTGTCAGGATAGAGCTCACAGACCCATCTGGACACCTGAAGTATAATCTAAGCTGCTCCAATTTAAACCCAGAGGTTTTCAACAGCATTTAGCTTTTCCTAAAGCAGAGCTATTCTGCAGAAAATTTCCCTCGTGGTCATCTTGTGGGGTTTTGGTCAAAATTCCCAACCAGTGTTTGAGTCCCAGAAACCCAGCACATGGATGTACACGTGCAGGTACCTGCACAGCAAATATTTTGCTGGCCTGGCTTGCCTGGTTAAATACATCTGCAATTGTTTTGCAGAAATTACCAGCTTACCACTTAGCTCCTCCATTAATTGCCTTTTAATTATTTTTTGACTCCCAGGAAGCAACATCCAAATTTGCCAACCTGGACAGCAGTGTGAAAGAGAATCAGAAAAGGACACAGAGGCGATTGCAGCTGCAAAAAGATATGGTATGTTTGTGGTCCTTCTCTCACCCTTTTTGAACTGGTGATGTCATTAACCCTAATTGGTGAGTTTTATAAGAAGCAGAATCTAGAAAGGTATTTAACAAAGGGAGGGTGCAGTAGGTGATGGTCTTGACTGTGCCCTCTGTCAAGCAAAAGAGTCCAATCAATGCTATGGGTGAGCTGATGCAAAGCAAGTGAACCAAAACATTTAGACTGAATGCAGAGTGGTTGTCTCTGTGAATCTGTGCCCCAAACTGTATTTCCCTTATGCTCTGGATTGTGATCTGCAGGTAACACTGTGTGTGTGTATATACTGTGCATATCTATGTGTGTAGATGATCCCACACATGCATTTCTAAGCAAACCCAAAGTGGGATTTGTGCTCCGAGCTGTGTGGCCATAACTGCCAAGCTGCAATGTTCTGGTCCTGAGCACAGCCCAGCTGTCCTCTTGCTCCAGGAACACCCCCCTGGGTGCTGACATGCTGGAGGAAAGGGACAGGCAAAGCACCAGCATGGCCAGCACATTCAGTGGTGCTGAGAATGCCCAAAGATGTCAGGATTTGGTGGGTGAACACAGGGACCATGTTATGGTCCCTGGCACCATCTTCCTTGTCCCCAGCAAGGGGATAACTGGGTCTCTGGGCTCATTGCTCCCATCCCCACTTGCATTTGCTTCACAAACAGCTGTTTGGGATGGATGCTAAGCCAAGGCTTTGGCCTGGGTTTCAAGTCTTCCAGAAATGTATTGAACCTGTCATATAAAAGCATAACAAGTGATTGATGAATGGAAACGTGTTCATCATTTTCAACTCTCTTGTTTCAATCCTCTGGGAAACAATTCCATTAACTACACTTTTTATCTGCTAGCAAGAAATACAGGGAAAGCCACACTGGTTTTTGTGTTGTACAATATGTAAATACTGAAAGAAAATGAGCTCTGACCAGAGCAGAAATCTTGTTTTCTTTGAAACAAGCTCATGAAACTTCTGACACACCAGCTTGAAAACTGCACAGACTTGTACAGAGGTTGCTTTGTCAAATGTGTCCAGTTTCCAGTCTGCTGGTGCAAATGGCTTTTGTCTCAAAGTTGGCAAAGATTTAAAAGGACAAGCAGAGAGAAATCTGGGATAGGGAGGCAAAAGTGCTGAATATGATTTTTTTTGTTTGTCTTCTAGTTTGGGAGAAAAAAACTGGATCCTTTTGGGCATTTCAAGTGCAGGAACAGCTCGAGCTCCCCCACTGCTGGCAGCCTAGAAAGTTTAAAATTCTAATAATGACTATTAAAATGCAGTGAATGGCCAGGGAAGATGGTCACTGCTTGGAGGAAAAAACTGTGACTTGCTTTGACTTGACTGTCACAGGGTGTAACAATGTCATTAAGTAAAAATCCACTGGAAAGAAGCAGAACCAGAACCTACTTCCACAGGCTGGCCAGGACCTTCCCCAGCTCCTTCCCTTGTAGCCAAGGGTCCCTGTCCCTGCTGCTTCCACAAGCAGGGGTTCCTGCTGGAAATCAGGGTATAGTGGCAGTATGAATATGAATAAAAATTAACTCTCTATTGATGTATAGAAATCATATTAAATCACTTGAAAGCATCTCGCTCTCGTAAGGATTTGATTTAAATTCTAGATTAGATGCTGAAGATGATATAATGTAAGAAAGCATTGCTCCTAAATGTTCTTCTCTTAAATAGACCACTTTTATTTTCTTATACAGGTGTCTCCTAGTGCTCTAAGTATCAGCATTTCTCTGATCATTTGCTCTGATCATTTGCAGGGTGTCATGCAAGGCACGGTGCCTTATCTTGGCACCTTCCTGACTGACCTTGTCATGCTTGACACAGCCCTTCAGGACTTTGTGGAGGTAATTTGGGGCAATTCTTTGAGCCTTCCCAGCAGTGAGTGTGTCATTTCCTGGATCTTCTACTGGGTTTCTGTGTAGTTCTTCAAAGAGAAGGAGGGAACATGTAGTTTTATTAGCAACAAGGATCCTGTGTGAATTTGAGTACAGTTACCTCAAGGGACAAGCCCAGCATTTGTATTTTGTCTTGTTTTCTTAGGTTAGAAAATGTGAAGAAAATAGGCATTCCATGATTCCAGTTTATTTTCCTGGAAACATTTTAGATATAAAGATTTCTGTGAATAATTGGTAAAATTCACAGTTTCAGCTCTTGAGACTGATAACTGAAGGGCTTCAGTATTGACTCAAGAGGCACCTGAGCCCTAAAGTTAAAGCCTGGGGTATTTTTTCATCATTTCTCTGAGTTAAACAAGGAGAGGAAACCAATCCAGCATAGGAAGGGGAAAAGGATTATAAGAAAATCTGGTTATTTAAGAGAGACTGAGGGATGGGGACAAAAGGAGTTTGAAAACCTTTGAAACAAACACCTTTGAAAATTGCCCCCAGGAAAGCAGGCACTGCAGGTGCTCAGCCTTCCTTGTGCTGGTGTTGATACCCACGATAAGATGGGCAAATGCACTTCTCCCTGGGCTGGTGATGGTTGGTGGCCTCTTTGCTTGTGGGCTGGTTGGCAAAACTGCACCAAAGCAGGCTTGGGTGAGGTTGCTCTAGAGCCACTTTCTTGTTGGCAGCTTCTCCTCTGCCCAAGTTCCTTGTCCTGAGCCTCCCTGGGAACACTCCTCAACTCAGCACAGGCCAAAGCCAGGTTTGTTTCTTGCCTGCTCAATCCCCTGGTGTTCTTCAGACCTGATCTCAGCACAGTTTTTATGAGCATTCTGGCATTGGGCTGCTCTTGGGCAGGCTGCCTCTCAGACAGATGATCCTTTGGAGACTCAAGATACACGAGTGCTGTGGTTTTTACCAGATCAGGCATGTTTAGAAGGCCCTTGCTCAGGGCAGGTCTGTGTTTTACATTAACCTTTGCTACTTCATTCTGTCTGTGATTAAATTCAACTGAGCACGTGCTTCTACTCTGATCCCTTCCTTCTCTTCCCTCCCAACAGGGTGGCCTCATCAACTTTGAGAAGAGGCGAAAGGTGAGTTGGATGTTCTGTGATGTTTAGTTAAGTGAGGCTCTTTTAGAGCCTTCTCTTGGCATGGCCACTTGTCCTTGCTCAGGCATCTACAACAGCCACTCATTTTAAAGGAAGTTTGTGAGGAACAAATAGACCCCTGGGAACAGTGAGGCTCTGCCAGGCTGGGAAGGGGTGGTGAAGGAAGAAAACCTGATTTTTAGGTGTGTGCATCAGGGGCAGAGGAGCTGCAGGGCACTTCCCTGGGATTTACATTCCCTCTGTTGGGTGGTCATGGGACCACCTTCCATGTGTGTGTCCTGTGTGTTGTCAGTGAATCAGACCCCCTGGTGGTGTGGAACCTTTGCTTTCCAGAAGATGCACTTTGCAAACATCTTCCTTCTGCTGCAGGGAACTGTTTGTAGGTAAAAGGCTGTAGATGGTGGACTAGGTGCATGAGGTTGAAAAATAAATGCTCTCAGTCTTCCCTTTCAGCCTGATCCTGGTTGGTCAGGGATAAGTAAGGCTGTATAGGGGTAAAGGTGCTGGGGTTAGAGCTGGCTGAATAAACTCTTGCCAAATTTCCCTTCTGGGATCTGAAACCAGACTTGGATTTGGCTGTGATGGAGCCATTTCCTTCCCTTAATTGCTCCCAGCTCTAGAAACACCTTCTTGCACTTGCCCTGTATGTATAACTGCACTGCTCAGACTCCCCACAGTGAGACAGACAAGGTTCCTCGTGGCCATCAGTCCAGCCCCAGCAGAGGTGCCCTCTGCACTGTGCTGAGCACACATCTCCACATCCTCATTCTGTAACACAAGGGGGGTGTAACAATGATTTTGGCAAAGCATGTGTGCAAGTGGCATTATGGAAGAGCAGTGCATTCCAGTCACATGTACCAAGGGTCACATTTTCTGTTCCTCTGGGGCAAGTGTGAGTGAACAACCTGCAAAGCCAGGATCAGGCTCTGCTTTCATTGCAGGCACCCCTCATTATTACCCTTGCTTGACAACCCTCTAATTATTACCCTGCCTGAAAGCCCCCGAAAGTACAGAGCATGATTCCTCTCTTGGAGATGGTCTGACCAGCACAGGGGTAAGCAGGGAGGGTCATCTGAAGATCTTGTGACCCTGTGCTACCTTGTTCCTAGAGGAATAACCAGCAGTGCTCCCGTTTGGTGGGTTTGCATTGACTTTACACTTTGGTTGGCACTTGGGTAAAGCTCTGTGGTGAAGTGTGATTCCTTGTGCTTGGCTTCTAATTTGTCTGTGTCTGATAACATGTTCACATCTCAACACACGTGATGGATACTGGGGAAAGAAAAAAAGTAATAATTACTTGAAAAACTGGTTCTTGAAATAGTTGCTTAAATGAAACTGAACTTCAGGTCCAACTAAGTTTGTCCTGGATCTGTTGTTGCATGTGTTTAGTATGTGAAGGAGTCTCAGGTTTTCTATTTAGAATTCCTATTTCATTCTTTTTTTTTCTTAGGAATTTGAAGTCATTGCCCAAATTATGCTCTTGCAATCTTCATGTAACAACTATTGCATGATGCCAGATGAGAAATTCATCCAGTGGTTCAGGAAACAGCAGGATATAACAGAGGAGGAGAGGTAGGTTCTGAGTTCTGCTGGAGATGCAGGCTTTCCTACCTCAGCCCACCTGCAGGCAGGTTCTGTCAGCCTTTAGCTGTCCTCTCACAGGAGCCAACATCTCCTGCTGCTCCAGGAGAGTGGAAACACAGCTGCCCTCTGCAGAACAGCTGCACAAAACCTGCTGAATGCTTAGCAGGGCTGAGCTGTGAGACTGGAAATCAGGCCTCTGACTTTGAAATATGATGGATCTGTTGTCTCTGGGTTGTCTGGACATCCAGACACACACACTCCCAGGTTGATCCTAAGGGACATCAAGACAGTCACTGAGCATTGGGCTGGTTGGTGGATGTAGCCAAGGCAATGCAGAGGTTGCTGAGTGTGCACCAGAGAAATGTTTCCTGGCTGTTTGGGGTGGGTTTTGCAGCCCTGCTGAGTTTTGTGCTACTGCACCTGCTGCCAGACCAACCCAGGACAGTTTCCTTACAGCATTTTAATATCTCCACTAGGTATTTCAATACCACTCTGCTGCACTAAAGAGTGTAAGCACCACTGCATTCTGAGTTGTACTGAATCACAGCAAAGAAAATACCCAAAATTCACATGCTAAGTATTTTCTTGAGGTTTTTTTGTTGTTTTGTTTTTTTTAAGAAATTCTGAATATCAGCCAAAAAAAGCAGGAGTTCTTAAAACTATTCTAAAGAAGTAAAATATCCCCTTCCCCCTGGTAAAACGTGGCCAGAGCCGTGTTCCTCTTTGCAGGGTTCCAGCCTTCTGTCAAGTGGGAATTCCTGAAGGTTTCTCACATTTCTTGAGTATTGCTACTTTGAGTTATAGAAATAATAGGGTTGTCTGTAAAAATTAACCCCGTGGCCTCTGCTCTGCAGCTTCAGCCTTTCAAGTGAGGTGGAAGCAGCTGCTGACACCAGCACCACGTCGCCCAAGTCTCGGAAGAGTGTGGTGAAGAGGTTCAGCCTGTGAGTACCAGGGGGCAAGGGGCATTTGGTGTGTTAATATCAACCAACCTGTGTTAATATCAACCAACCAGCAGTACTTGTTTCACCAGCTGAAAAAACCTGCCTAGGGATAAGACCACAGCATTACTTTAAGGAGAACTTGGCCCTTTCTATTGTTACATGTAGTCATGAGGATTATTAATGGTGAAAGAGATTAGAAACAAAGAAGCCTTCCTAAGGTGTCAGGAAAAGGAACAATTTTAGTGCTGGATTATAAATTCAGTATGTATTGTCTAATACCTTCCCTGAGTGCAGCAGCAAAGAGTAAATGAGGATAAAATCTGCCTTCTTATTTGTCTGATTTGCTACACGTGTGAAAAAATCTTCTTAATATGAAAACTTGGGTAGCAAAAAGGCATTTGATAATAGAAACAATCTGCCTAACTGCCCTTCAAGATAGAGGAGAAAAACCATGGGGACATGGTTCAACTTAGTCTAGTACTGTGAAGATTCAAACAGGAGGTGGGTAGAGAACAGGGGAGATGCAGCTGAGCACCCACAGGAAACAATGCACTGGCAGGAATTCAGGGAAAGCTGCAGAGATCAAGGAGCCAAGTAAGAGTATCTTAAAGGTGAGAGATTTGAACCTGATGCAAGAGGAGGGACTCCTGCATAGCAGTGACATGATCAAGATGAGGGGGGAAATGATGAATTTAACAGCACTGTCAGCTCTGAACTCTCCTTTCCTGCTTGGTTCTTGCACCTGGTTTCCTCAGAACAGCCAGGAGCCCGTTCACAGGAGCATCACTTCAGGTTTAGGGTGTGAGGGTAGAAAAGATCTTTTGAGTTCTGCCATGCAAAAAAAAAAGTATCTGAGCAGCTGTTTGGAAAGTGGTTCAATGAGTCCAGCTGAGTTGGTGGTGGAGAATGTGGGCTTTGCAGGTGATGGTGCCTGAACTCTGGGTGGCCTCTCGTTTGTGTCTCCCCTGGCGCGTGTGCAAGGACCGTCCCTGCAGAGCACAGGCTTGAGCTTCTTGTTTCTGACTGCATTTCAGGGCTGTAGGAGTGTAATTTGCTGCACTGAGTTTGTTTGCACTGTGCAGTCTTTGTCTAAAGAACTGTTTCATCTGCACCCTGAATGTATGTTGCAAATGAGCACTGTAGGAAAGTTTCATCCCGGCACCAGTGCGTGACACCTCTAAATTGTTCTAAACCATCAGCTGCACACTAACAGAGCATCTGATTCACCTTGCTCCTCTGCTTTATGTATTATACAAGTTTGTTTCCTTTGACACTCCTTTAAATTTACTTGACCTGCATTTAGAAATGAGTCTTGGCAAGAGAGAGCCTGTAATTTCCACTTTCTTGTGACCTCACCGTGGAGATCAGCTGCTTTCAGAAAACTGGTATCTGTGGCACCTCTGTTGAGGGAAAGAATTTGCAGCAGGGATGAATTTGCCTTCTGAAGACCTGGTGTACAGCACTGCTTCACTTAAGTAGCTCTTGGGCTGTCTGGTGTGACAAGGAGCAGGGTGACAGTGACAGCAGTGTCACCTGCCCCTGGCTTTGTCAACGCTTACGATCGATCTTTTCCTGGCCCATGGGTCTAAAAATTGAACAGACCAAAGAGGAGGTTGGTTTGTGGTATTTGGGCACTAGCCCCAGTTTCAGCCTTGCAGCTGGCCAGGAAGGTATTGTGCTAGTGTGGAACAAACTCTCTTGACAAAAAACATATAAACAACAGAGAGGAAATTACAACAATAGGCCACTCCAAACAGGAGGACAAAGCGATGCGTAAGGTTTTTGAAGCTTTGCTCAGCCCAGCTCTGTGCTGTTTTCACTTACTGGCTGTTGTGCTTTCTTTTCTACCCTAGAATGTTTCTGGGCTCCGAGATGCTGGCCCATAGCACACCCATCAAAGAGCCACGCAAATCTGCTCGGGGTGGGAGCTCTGGTGAAAGCACAGACTCAGCCAGTGTTTCTTCGTGTGAGCTTAACCCCTCGGAACCTGAAGACGCCTGCCCCAGCCCCATAGACACTCCTGATGAGGTTCAGAAAAAGGTATGGTCCTAACAGCATGAACAGCCTGTGGGAGCCTGTTGACACTACAGGCAGGCCCTAGATGTCTGCCCAAGCCTGCTGGTCCTGACTAGAGCACATGGCTTTTACTGGAATGGAGAGACTCTAGAAACAGATGTGTAAAAATGGAAGTAATCCACTCAGGAGTTTTGCACAATCCCTTCTGTGTTGCTGAGATATGAGACAGACTGAAGTTCTCCTGTCCTGAAACCAGGTTTTCTAGTGCTGCCTGGGAGTGTTTGTTTTTGGGTGAGGACCTGGAGAAGCATGAGGGTATTTTTTCTCAGTCCCTCAGAGTGCTTTTTGAGAGGGATGGGGCAGGCTAGTGGCATTAGTACCTGTGGGAAATGGGGTGAGGAGCCTGAGCATCACCCTCACTCACAGCTCATGGCAGCACATGAGCTGTGACACAGACAAAAGGATTTGTAAGCCCCCACAAACCAAACCCAATGTAACAGCAGATGGGGGGTTAGCTGGAGACAAGCAGAAGGGATCTGATGGGCAGGTCAATAGGGATCCACAGACTCTTCCCTTTTGGACTGAGCTGGGTTAACTCTATTGTTGAAGCCATTTTTAGGGATGTTTTGCTGAAGGGGTGATAACTGGTGTTTAGCTTATGGATATTTTAAATCAAACTAAATGTTCTTAAACCAAATGAAGCATGAGGTCCCCAACACTGGCTCCCATAAGTTGATTAAACTGTTTAGCTGGAACAGTTGTCATGGTGGTTTTGAGAAGTGTTCTGGAGAGGGAAGATGCACTCAGCAGTTTTTGAGCAAGGCAAAGAGAAAGCCAGATCTCTGAGCAGCAGGGGAAGGAGGGGAGCAGCTTCCATTAAGGAAAGCATATTCATGGAGAAATGGCAGGCAGGGAGGTGTGTGTGCATCTTCACCCGGGTAAAGGCTCCGACCTGGAGCAGCAGTGTCCGTGGTGCCCTCTGCTCCTTGCCAGTCCCTCCCAGTCCCTGGTGGTTGCCCACAATCTGGTTCTGTGCTTTGGATCTGCTGCCACCTCCTGGATCTGCTGCTTCTCTCCAGAGGCCTGAGCAGGCAGCACGCAGGGACACCAACTGCAAAAGCAGTTTTGATTAAAAGGGTGACATTCATCAAGTGAAGTTCACTTTTGCTGGAGGCAAGGAACACCACTGCCAGCCTGCTGGGAAGAGAGCAGATGGTGGAAGTTTTGGTTGTGTCTTCTGCTACCTCAAGTTCTTCTTCCAGAATGACAAAATGTGCAGTTTGTGACAGGGTTTTTCTTTCTTTGTTCTGTAGCTCTTCTCCTCCTCCCCCACCTCCTCCACCTCCTCCACCACCCCTTCCACGGGCACGTCTTCCTCAGGGGTGTCATCTTTAATCACATCCCCTCCCTTGGTGACCTCCGAGGAGAAGTGCTCTGTCTCTGGGATGCCCAATACCTCAAAAGAGCTGCCTCCTGTTTACAACCAGCAAAACAAAGACTCCTGCATCATCCGGACCAGCATCGAGGAGGACAATGGCAACATGTACAAGAGCATTGTGGTGAGTTGGGGGAGAACAGCAACGTGCTGTTATCCTTGGGGATGTTTTGCATCTGTGGGGGCTTAAACAGGTGGTGCTTTTAGTTTTGAAAACATCTATTCACTGAGCCAACTCATCCCACCTGGCTCGACAGGGAAAATCACAAATGCTGCCATTCAAAATACGTGGGGTGTGGTGTGAACCAGAGGTTTGACAACAGCATCTTTGTGGAAGGTTTTGGTCTTGAAATGAAAGCTCTTATTTTGGCAAAAAGCTCCAAGGGAAGCACTCTGATCAAGCACAGGCTTTGCTGCTCTGCCCTTCTGCTGTTCTGACATCAGGTTTTGCCTGGAGAAGCTTTTCCCAGGTCCTAGTTTCAGGAAACCAAGGTGCTGTACCTGAGGAAGCCGAACAGGCCCTTTTAATTATGCAGCTTCTCTCCATGGTCAAAGTCCTTGCCCTGGTGCTGGTTCCACAGGAGGGTTTGGGCAGTGCTGAGGAAGTGCAGGACCTCTGCTGCACCCTGGTCCCTGTGACTGCCCTGCCCACCATCCCTGCAGGCACCTGATAGGGCTCAGCTGCTGAGCAAACACTCCAGGTCCCCCCAGGCTTGGGGGAACAAACACAGCAGGGTAGTTCTCAGCACATTTAGCTGCACCTTACAATTTCAATGGTCTGACCTCCCCAAATTGCAAAGGGTGTTCCCTGAGTGCCTGACAATTCAGCTGCTGGTGAGACAAATCTTCCTTTTGAGTGCAGCAGGCTCTGGAGGGAGCCCTGTGTCTGCTCCAGCTGCTCCAGCACTTCCCCAGCAAACAGTAAACTCAGTGACAAGGCCAAAAATCTTTGCAGGATGTCCAAGAAAGGATTTAGGAGGAGCCTGCAGATTAATTGGTGTCTACAAACAACAGATGGGGCAGCTGTTTATGTGAACTATGGCCAGGGAGAGCACCACCTCATCTCTCAGAGGGTTTGCTGAGGAAAGCAGGCACTGTGATTTACTGTGCAGTGTGTGTCATCTCCAACTAAAAAACCACCACCACCCAACGTCACAAATCCCACAGTTTAGACCCAGCAGAACAAATTGCTCTGTTAACTGATCCATCACAGGTTTTTTCAGTTCCCTGAAATCTTTTTCTGAGAACCAGTGCTCTGCAGAAGCTCTCATTGCAGCTCTCTCTTGACAGCTAACCAGCCAGGACAAGACTCCTGCTGTCATCCAGAGAGCGATGCTGAAGCACAACCTGGACGTTAACACCGCGGACAATTACGAGCTTGTACAAGTCATCTCGGAGAAAAAAGGTAGGGAAATGAAACTCTGCTGCTGCTTGAAAAGTTCTGCTGGGTTTGGAAGGCATTAAAGAGGGTGAAGAAGGGTTAGGGATGCCACGGATGGGCTGTCACAGCTGCCAGTGAGAATAAACCCTGGTAACGAGTGTGCAGGGATGATTCCTCATGGCTTGGCAGCACCTGCACTGTGTGGCAGAGCTTGCTGGGGGGGTCTCCAGGTGTGGACAGACCCTCCTGTGTGCCCAGCAG